TATATATATATATATATATATATATATATATGCATCGTTAGAAAACACATTGGCGCTGCCACGGCCACACCAAAAGCACCATAAGGCCCCATCCCCCAAAATCCATCATTTTGATAGAGTGAGGACCCGAAAACTCCGCTAAACGCCTACAAATCCATTTCCACCCCAAAAAAATGGATGTGGAGCTTCTAAAATGGTGCAATTCTGATTGATTTATGTTCCGCTTGAAAGGGCAGTTTAGATCAGATGTTGAGATAGCAGGCAAAATGGGGTATGTTTAGGACTCCAAATCTTGTTGTTTTCAGGTGTTGATCTGAGAATTTAACAGGATGAATCTGCAGTTTGGGTCCTTGAACCATCAAAAATGGATTTTAAGGAGGAAAGGGTGGGGGAGCAGGGGCAGGGTGGGTTGAGGTGGGGGAGGGGCTGGTGGAGGTGGCGGTTTAGGGGTTCCATGGTGTCTTTGTTAGGCCATGGCCACGTCAAAACCAGCCATGGTGTCTTCGTGAGGCCAGGGATAGGGTTTTAGGCTTTTGGAAATGCCCCCTTGTTTGCTGGCTTGCAAATGTGACAGCCATGCATTACTGGTTGCTTCTTTAATTTTATCAATGTATTATTTTTTCTTCAAATTTATAAAAACTTAAAAGAGTATTATCTTCTTGTCTATAGTGTGCAGGGCATGACTTTTGGTATCAACACCCCAGTTGATCAGTGATAATCTCCAAAGTTCTATTTGAAGGTTATCCATATCTTAAACCTTTTTTTTAAAAAAAAAGTAGAATAAGAAACAGTTATCTGTATCTTACGAGAAATTTTCTGTTATTCAAAGGAATGGCCTTCTCTGGTTAGTGGGTGCTTGTAATGGATGTAGGCCCCTCAGTGGTTCTGTTGGTTGGAAAGTGTTTGCAAACTTCACAAGTTGAAACCCTTCATACGAGGAATGAAGACGATAGAAAGAAACAAGTGTATCATACATACTAATAGAAGAGTAGAAATAGCAGCAAACTTGTACAGAATTATTATCTATTCCAATTTTGTAAGTAACTTGTATTGGTAGAAACATAGAAGATACAACCAAAAAGCGGAGAAGTGTGCCAACAAAAGACTGGTTTCCACCTTGAAAAGGGCACTTGGAGATCAGCACTTGGTCTATCCACATGCTAGTATGAACCCAAGGTATTGTGCAACATGCAATGCCTCTTCATACCTTTGGTTGTTTCAGGTCTGTTCATGTTTGGTTTCTTTCTCCTGACCTGCAAAGCTTGGCGCAGAAATGGTTTTTGTTTCTTTTGGCATTTTCTTGGAGTTATGGTTTGTTCCTTTTTGACTTCTTGCGTCTGATTACCTTCATGCACTCCTGCCAAGAGTTTTTCTTTCTTTTTTCCTTTGGTAAAGATCATATCACTAACTTGGCTGATTTTGCACAATTATCAGATTGTTCAAGTAAATAAGCCCAGAATGACAATGCATCAGGCGATTATTTGTTACTTCTGTCCTGCCAACATTTAATAAAACAAAACAAATTGTTTGTTATATTTGTTTGCATTTGCTAATCAATGTAAGTGGAAGTCACAAAAAAGAAGAAGAAGATGAATGTGTAACTAGTATTGTGATTTTCTCTTTAGTGACTGCCAAGTAGGAAAGTTCAAGAATTGTGATTTGAAGATTTTTAGCTCTGAATCATTGGCATTGCCAGTAGTATGGAAGTTGACCTCCATTTGCATCTGCTAACCTCCATTTGCATCTGCTAACAATGCAATGTACATATTGGTTTCTTTCAGTGAGTGCATTTGGTGTATCCATTTTCTTGTGTATTTGGTTTAAATTTAGAACCTTTCAATTTTATCAAGCAATTTAAGAGATGAAAAGGAGAAACCCTATGATCACTCCATTGCTAACCTTTTGCATTTGTAGAACTGACGGAAAAGACGAAGTGGTTGATAACAAGTATTTAAGGGCAAACTATCCCCTTTTGGTGAGCAATCTTGACATCACCTTTGTTTAGTGATAAATTACCTGCTTATGAAACACATCTCAATCTTGATTGTCTTTTTGTTGTTTGGCAGTTGATCAGCTATTATGAGGAACGGCTCCGTTACAGTGCAACTTAAAGGTGAATTTCTATGCCCGATTTTGATGCCGGCTGATATTTCTCTCATTCAAGTGGCCAAATGATATATGACTGGCATTGTTGACCTAGAATGTATGATGCATGGATGGGAATGACTATGGACATGGCTGGCTACACCATCAGTTTTTTGCTGAGATTTTACATAGGTTTTTGAGATTTTACATAGGTTTTTGAAGTATCTGACGTGGATACACTCACAATATATAGGTTTTTGAAGTATCTGACATGGACACCCTCACCATTTTGAAGCATCCGGACAATTGTACATTAAGCTGTTGTTCCTTTGTATCTAAAATCATTGCCTACAGCTTTGGCTTGGTGTTTGGGTTGGTCATATGCTCTTCTGTTTATGTAGCCTTTTCCTCTCTCTCTCTCTCTCTCTCTCTCTCTCTCCACTAGGCTTCATCTATAGATCCTAGAATCTCTAGCTCTACACTAGGCTTCATCTACAGATCCTAGAATCCGTCTTTCTCGACTTCTGGATAAGAATTCCATTATAACAAGGGAGTTGGCTATTGTGTTATACATGAAATTACAAAAGTGGGCTACATTTTGCTCCAGCTATCCCTTTGCAGCAAGGGATGGTTCATATGAGCTGTTTGTTGTGGGTTCAGTACTTGGGCAGAAGAGTGGTTCACGCCAACGTGCTGAACTTGACTTTGGAAGTGGGTTTCATATTTCACACACTCCTTTTAACATTTATTTACAGGGACATTTCCATTATTTTTGTTTATGTTTTCACGTGCATAGAACATGTTTGCTTTGACACTACGTAAGATCATTGAGTAAAGCAGATTGTACAATGAGTGGTGTACAAGCGCTAAGGAAAGTACAAAAAAAATGAGGATAGAGCAGAGAGAAGAAAAATGGAAAGGAGACCAGAAAAGGAGCCTAGTGGGGGTAAAGGAGAGATTACTTAGCTAGAGAATCAGCCTCGTTGTTCCTCCCTCGATGAATGTGACAAAAGTCCACTTTCCTAGTGGACAGTATGAACATATTCTCGTCAAATACTCATCTGAGATTCAATGGCACTTTCCGGTGGTCCTTGCACCAAGTTGGCATTCGTCAAGTCTCCTTGGATGATCACCTGTTCATCGCCCTGTGAGCCCATTCTTCAAAGCCCACAATCACCTGTCCATACCACTGTCGGAGTCGAACCAACCAATTTTTCAAAGCCCACAATTATGCTTGTATTGCATAACAGGGTGGCAAGGATACTGTATATGTATAGATGACTTTTCCCTCATGCGATCTCAAAAGGCCTTGGCACTTTGCTTGTTGATGTAGACCATAAGAACTTCCATCAAAGTTTAGTTAAGTTTAGGTTCACCCATGGGTGGAAACCATATAGGGTCTCTTTTTTGGCACCTAGATTTTAAATGTAGCAGTTCAAGAAGGTTGCCAATCATATCCTCTTTGGTGACTCCTTTGAAATCCTTTCAAGCTTTGGCCCACATGACCATATAAGCCTTAACAAAGTCCATAATTTGCTCCAGTGACCTCAATATTCTTTGAAACATTTTACGGTTTCTCTCTTTCCAAATGTACCGTATAATTGAGGCCATGGCTATGCCCAATAATCGAATACCCAACTTGGTGAAAAGTGGGACATGGGTGTTATCCAAGCCAAATGAAACTCGCTTAAAATCCAATGCCAAAACGAAAGGGCAAATTATCCAAAGCGAAATGAAACTTAAAATCCAATGCCAAAGTGAAAGGGCAAATGGGCATGGTAAAACTAGTTGGTCATCTCAGCATCACTTTTAAGGGTGTGTTTGATAACTGAAAAGCAATGTTAAGTTCTTCTTTGTTGAGAAGAAAGATCTCAGAGGAAGCTTTAAGTTTTGGGTGTCTTGATAACTTGTTGGAATGTTAAAGAAGTTTTAGATATCTGTGTTTGACAACTTGTTGGAATATTACATAAATATATATGTTATATATAATACAAATAACATAATATAATATATAATATAATATTTTATAATTATTTTAGTAGTATATTGTATGATATATATATATATATATATATATATATATATATATATAGTA